TGTCTTAAAATTCTGTACCCTCTATGTAAAAAAAAAGGACGCACTCTTCTTGCGATTTGTTTTATCGAATTCTGAAAACAAGCATAATGAACAAATCTGTATTGATAGCTTTATCTTTTTGAAATTTCAAACTGTTGTGAATAGATGATAAATACATGGTCGACCAGAATAATCTGCAATTGAAGGTTTGATGATTTCTGGCAACATAGTTACATCATAAAAAAGTGACAGAAATGCAGTAGCCGTTTTCGAACACAGCTGAGCAAAAATAAAAATAATTCTAATCCTACATAGGAGTATAAAACCATTATACAAATAATATCGTGCAATACAACAAGGTAACCATGCTGTAGTATTCAAAAACTTATATCTCTTAGCAGCAATTAAATATTTTTACGTCACAAATAGTGGTACGGAATATTGCTATTTTTCTTGTTTGCTGATCTAGAAAATTAGATTACTTGCATGAGTACGTTCAATAAACTTTGTATATCTTGATTAAAAATTATTCTCTGATGCTTATCGCTATTTTAATTTACAGAGAAATCACAAAGACTTTCCAATTCGAATACGTTCTCTTTGTTTATAATGAAACGAATTTTAGTCGCTGATCAGTTATTGCACCATTGTACTTCATTGAAAAGAATTCATGAGGAAAAAAAAGCGCACAACACTATACATAAATGCAAGATCAGACATATTTGTATGATAATCGCACACGTAGTGTTCTGAAAACAACATAGTTAATGAAGAAAACTATTTTTTTGGAACGCTTTTCTTTCAAAATAGAAGTCTATTATAAAACTGGACAATTTTGAATTGTACTGTTAAAATAATAAAATCAAAAAAATTCTGTATGAAGATTCAACAGTCTAGACCTGGGTGGGCGACTATCAAACAGTTCTTGAATTCATATAGTCAATACGTAGTGTTATTCGTACCTTTCTCGCTCTTCAAGAAGACATAGTTGTTTACTAGTGGCAGCGCACAGAGGTCGAAGCAGGAGAAGAGTTTATATGAACATCGAATAAAAGAGAAAATTTACTTTAAGCTTTTCCAAAATTGCAGAAGCTCAAGCATAAACTTCTAAAGGCAGGATGTGGATTACCCTTCATTACTTCTCTTGGTTGAGCCACCTATGTCGTCGACACAACACAGAGAAGAATGCGACATTGAAACAAAATAGGTGAAGAGTCGTCACCTTTCAATTCATAAGAAACTCATAAAAGCGATAATCGACAAAGAATATACTTTCTTTTTCTTCGTTTCGATTTTTTGAGGTATTTCACATTGTATGAAAGTTAGTTATCTTATAATGCCTATACCTTGTAAAGTACTTTTTAACGAGAATTCTTTTTCGATCACACGATTTTGTTTGATTGGTTGTCTCATAAGCGATATTATGATGTAGCCCATGACAGTACACGCAAGAATCAGTCGCCACAAGTGACAAACAACTTCAATGCATCAAGCCCATTTCCAAATTCAATTTCACAACCAGCAAACAGATGTTTGGGAAATTTTATGCTTGGAACCTTGATTCCTAACATTCCAATAGCGCCCATAGCATCGAATGTGACAATTCAAAGTAATCATTTTGATTTATGTGTCGATTTTATGCATGAAACTTTTTTCGTATCAGGTTCTTCCGTATCTCAACCTCGATCTACTTATGAACGAGATATTCTTATAAAGCTGTCTGAAATCATTCTAACTATTCATGGAAGAAGAGAATTTGTCTCACGTGAACGTGTTCAGAATGAGTTGTTCAATTATTTTGGTGTCAACTCTTGGAAACAGTTAGGTGTTCGTCCGGGTGAACTCAGCCCTCTAGTAATTCTAACTGATCGGTTAAAACGAGTGACCTTCTATATGCAAATCTTCGAACAAGTTTTCATGCTATGCACATTGCACGATCTTAGACTTCTCCTAGCCAAATTTCTTAAAGTTAATACGTATGAAGACGCACATTTGGGTCCTCTCGAAGAACATCCGGACGTAAAACGAGTATTCAATTATGAACCAACTCAACGTCATCAACCAATTCCGGTCATAACGAGTGGTAGTGTTATTACATTATTCATCCATTTTAAAGAAAAATTCAGAGGAAACCTTATATTTGGTGCATTTCTCGATGAGCTTGTCAATCTTTATCAATTACGAACTCGAAATGAACTTGGTCTCTATTGTAAATCGTTTCCATTCTTAGTGGAGGTAGGAAAGTTGTGATCTATTGTTGCCTTATCAATTGAATCATTCTAGGTGTCTGGCTACGTATGGCGGAACTACCTCTGGCATATTAACGAAATGCAAAGAAAAGCAGTAGAAGAATTGACTAGTACTATGGTAGAACGTTTATCAGAGCTTAAGCTAGTATTGCGCGACGAACTCGGACTTTCGTCATACAATAAGAAAAAAACTCCTGTAGCTGTATTCAATCATCTAACTTCAATAGTCGAAAGATATCTTTCTTTCATACCTGAACAATCGTTTACCTATGTCATACTGATTCACCTTCGTCAGAATGAACTGCTTCAATGGCTATTGAATATTAGTATCTATTTGGGTACCATTGAAACACCTGACGTATTCATTGCCGAACTCGAAAACATTTTTCGTCACCAGAACGATCATTTGAGGCGACAAATTTTAATGCATTTTTATCAATCGCTACCATACGACTCAAACATAAGTCAGATGGATTATGGACGATTACAAGCTATGATCCAACAGCAACATAATGCCTTCACTATTGGGCAAAATGTAAGTTGTTTTAATTGAAAAATATCTTCGCATTTGAATTCAAGTTCTTAGTTCAGCAGGAGACTCATTTTCTTAAGTGCTTATGCAATTGTTAAAAGTTAGAATAAATCATTTTTCTAAAAGCCTATTGTATACAAATATTGTTCTGTAAGACGTATGTTTCTAAAATTTCTCACATTTTCCAATTTAACAAGAATATGGCTTACATGTGCGTAATAAAAAGAAAAAAAGCATATTGTAAGTTTATTGTTAAGAAGTTCAAACGGTCTTTCAAAATGCTACTGAAATCATGGACAACTTACTGTTCAGTCTGCTCGGCACATTCGGCTAGATCTACATGTCCAATCTGTCTTCTTGCATAGGATATTAGCCATCTCTACACATGTTGTATATCAATAAAATAAGAAACAAGTGTTTATTTTAAACTAAATATAGCAAGATGGAACGAGAAAAATAAAAATCGATAAACTGTGACTGTATTTCATTTTCTAGCAAGTAAGAACGCCTTCACTTTCGAAACGCTTCGTTTTATGAATTGTGCTTCTTTTAGGCTGCACAAATACGTGAATGAATAATGCAAGATTCCTAGGATATTGTTCGATAATTCATGTATTTTTATTATGCCATGTATAGACTATTGAAGAACCTTCATTCAATTCGGCAGGTCGTCGAATATGATATTAGGATTAAAAGAATTGCTTTGTACATTTCAACCGAGAACAACAAATATTGCGCAGGCATGCTTTCGATCTAACTACTGCTGAGCTTCGTATTCATCCACCAAAATGATAGAAATGAATCAGTACGCATGTAACGTTGACGAGATATTTTGAGAAGGCGGTTTGTGAATACAGCGGCCACTTCAAGACTAGATTGCAGTATTTTGAGAATCAATTCATTCAAGAACATACAATGTGATTTTGTGGCAACAAGAGATAGATTTTATATCTATTTCGCTATTGACAATACAGATAAGAAATCGTCAAGAAAGAAGATATGCGAAAAGAATTTAAACCTCCGACTCGTTTTTCGAGCCAGTGATTCAGCCATCCCTCATTACACTTGCCTGAAGGACAGCGATAGATTAGATCTCACTCGATTTTTCATTAGAAATGCCATTAGTTTTGATAGAAGCATTTGTCAATATTATCTAGAATAAGTGTTCGAATGCATGTCATATGAAGTCAAAAATCGAGTTGATCATGCTATACACGAAGTCTTTTGGAATTTTTTTACGAGCTAAGAATTTAGTGGATTTCTGTTTGTTCAGATAACAATTTAGCCTAGAAGCATTATGTAACGCAAATTGAACTTTACTCTTAATTAATAAAAGAAAATTCCTTCCTTTTCAAAATAAAGATGAAAATGACTCTATTTTGAATTGCAGCCAGTAACAACAAATGCTTCGTCTTTTCAAATAGCCAATACGTCGACTACACATCCATTGTTACCAACCAATAGAAGCAGACCAAAGTTATCTGTAACTCTGAAGCAATTCTGTTCGTATATTTTTGAAGTTCTCATCAATTATGAAACAACTCTCACAGTCAAACAATTCCTACAAATTGAAAATCATCTGTGTACCAAATATAACGTTGATAGCTTTGATGCGTTCAAATTTGATGAGAACGATACCGATGATACTGATGTCAATTTGGTTTCCTTTCTTGATGCTCATCAAATGTTAATCGATCCGAATAGAGAACTATCCGTCTATGGATATAATGTACCTATGACGGATCGGCAAGAGTTGTTCGAATTCGCCAATCAAGTGATCGAATCGAACAGTGATCGACAGTGTATGCTTTCACAAGCTCTACAGTTCGGTATAGATTCTAACGATGAAGACATTCAAATTAGTGCGGATAATGTACCGATATTGGAAAAAGTGGTGATACATAAATTCGGTAGCCTACTTGGTTTTCGAACAGGAACCGATATTTTTCGAAAAATCAAACAATCACGTATGAAAAATGCATATTCGATTATTCGGTAAGTATAATGCTTGTCTTTAGATACTCGATAGATGAATTGCTTCTAGATTCGAAGAATCACTGTTGGATTTTAATCATCTCGATCGAATCGATACATGTCCGCTGATGTCAATCACAGACGAAAATCAACTTTGTCAATTTATTCTTCAATGTCCAGTCATGATCAATCTGTACACATGGCTACAATGGCCTTATTTCTTTGAGTCGAAATATGGCAGTCTGAAAATGTTCATTAGAAAAAATATGTATTCATTTCAACATTTATTGTTACTCGAAACATCAACTCATGAACTTCTTCGTCTGCCTACCGATGCTACTTTGAAGAGTTTCGAAGATGAACTCCGTTCATTACATGTACGCTCAGCTGTCGGTCATCTATGCACATTGATCACTCGTGAATACGATCTAACTACTCGAATTCCGTTAAATGTCTATCGAACATCTATGCGTACATGGTTCATTCATCTACAATCATTAGCTATGGTACAGGGTAATAATGAAGAACCGATGCAATACATACTCGATTTTTTAACCTATCTACCAGTGTATGTCGGACAAGCAAGACTTATTCAAGAAATCGTACTTGGACCACTCGACGATGTGTTCTGGAAAAGTGGAGTAAATGCAGTTAGTGCACGAACAAGAATATGGAAATTGGCAGATGAAAAGCAAAGGAACAAATTAGAAATTTGGGGTCATACACTTGATATCAACGAGTGGAAGAACAGCAGTAAATGGTCTGGACAAGATTACTCGGTTGAAGACCAAGTATCACTTCTTGAGCCATCAGAGAATAGAACGAATTCAAGTGAGACCATTGTTCAAGGTAAAAGCAATTTTAATACCACTCTGTTCAATAAATTGTTTCATGAATCGAATTCATACGAGAAAGAAAAGACAGTTCCTCCATTCCGAAGAATCTTTTAAAGTACCAGCAATTCAAATGTGTGGGAATGGTTCGATAGAGGTTGGCAACTTTTGAAATAAAACACTCAATTTTCTAAAAAGAATATTTCATTCCTACTTCTTCAATACAAAATCGAGCATGAAAATCTAATTTTCATACAATTCAGATAATCTTTTGAGTAAGATAGTGTCCATTTTAATTAAACTCTTCAAATCATAATACGAATAAGAAACATGAATTTCTTCTATTATTTTTTCTACTTTATCCTCTAGAGGACTTCTCTTTCTGGAAGGGACTAAAGTAGAGATCGGCAAAATGAACTGATAATGAGAAAAAAAATCTGTGAATAAAGGATCATTTTTTTTTATTTCAGCAGTATTCTTGACACAAATCAATGCAAAGTTTTTTGAACATCATAATCATTGTAACCAAGTAGAGGAAGTTCATACTTCTTAATCGTGCCATGATTTCATGAATTTGATTAGAATGAATCTTATCTCGCTCAACAAACCCTTTTACTAAAAAAAGAGCTGTCAATTTTCATTAATTTTTCAGGCAAGATTTTTTGAAAATTTCCATACAAAAAAACGTAGGAATAAAATGTAAAATTATGGTTGTCCTAATTAATTTGCTGAGCATATATCTAACAAGGCTAAAAATTCGAAAAACGATTTGTGATCATATCCTGATGGTTGATGTATGTTCACCAAGAACTGCTGTTTCCTCATTGGCTTAGTATATAGAAAACTCGCTACTACTATATGGTATACTCTTGTAGTGTGCGGGTGACTACTTTTGAAAAGTTTCTTATTGTAATGCTTTAAATAGCTATTCATGATATGTTAAGAATCCATGTTACTTTCTTCACAGACGACACTTATATGCCAACAACAATACCAGCTGCAGCGCCGACTTTATCCACAACTCCTCAATCACATTCAAATCCAATTGAAGTCAAGAGCAATAACGAAAACGGATCAGCTCAAGCTGCATTTGAACATATCGAATCGATTCGTCGAGGCTTTGGTGTCGATAGTGGTCTCGATTCGAGTGGTCAATCGATTGTCAATAATCTTCAAGGAATGATCGAACGAAGTTTACAAAAATTATCCAACGATCTCTATTCGGAACAGGGCCATTTTGTTTTAGAACTCATTCAAAATGCCGATGACAATCAATATGCGTCTGATCGTTTGCCAACACTTCGTTTTGTTCTATCAGATAAACGAATTTTAGTTTGTAACAATGAAATTGGTTTTCAACCGAATAACGTTGCCGCCATCTGTAATGTGGGTGCAACGACCAAAGGCAAACACAAACAAGGCTATGCTGGACACAAAGGTATACAATTGATAGGCGTGAAAATTGAAATAGTAAGAAGATTTTTAATCTCTAGGTATTGGATTTAAATCAGTATTCATGGTATCCGATCGTCCTGAGATCCATTCGGGTGACTATCATTTCTGTTTTGATACTGTTGATGGTACTCAACAAATTGGATATATTCGTCCGATTTGGTTGGATAAATGGAATGAAGAATTATCGACTGCTAACGAATGGACAACGTGCATTTGTTTGCCGATTCAACGAGGTAGTCGACTTCAAGAAAATTTTGACAATATTCAAGCAAAACTATTACTCTTTCTCAATCGTTTACGACGAATTGAAATTGTGGGTCAACCGATAAGCGCTTCAAACAGTGATCAAAGTCGTATTTTTACTAGATTTGATCATGCTGATGGAAAGATAATTGAGCTACAAGAAAAGACAGTAAATGGAACAATTATCAAAAATTTTTGGCTCGTTGTCAAGAAAGTTCTGCAAGTGCCCCAAGATATCAAGGTAATAAAATACATATCATTTATGTTAGAACTATGCTAAACAATTAAAATTTCAGGAAAAACTACGCGAAGTCAAATGTGACGTTCATTCGACGACAATTGCCATTGCTTATCCACTCAGTGGCCTTCAACAGTCGGTTCAACAACTTCCATCGGCTCAACCTCTCTTCGCTTATTTACCACTCCGTTCGTATGGTTTTCGTTTCATTCTTCAAGCCGATTTTGAAATACCTGTCACACGACAAGAAATTCTTCATGATAACATTTGGAACGAATGGCTCAAATCCGAAATGATTCAACTTCTTCCTTTGGCCTATACACAATTTCAAAATCTACCCGATCTTCTCACATCATCGTTGCCTGAATCAGAAATTGGCAGTCCATTAACAGCTATTCAAGTTTTAATCTATTTTCTTAAGCTCATTCCGACTCGCAATGAACTCGATCCATATTTTAATTCATTCGTTGACAAGAGCATGAAATTACTCATGGGTATTATCAAATTACCCGTATCTCGAGAAGATGAAAACGGTCAAATGCATATCGAATGGGTTCAAACCTCACAATGTGTCCTTGTAAAAGATCCATTCATACGAAAGATTCTTCCTCAAGAGTTATTATTAACCCATTTCAATATGTACTACGTACCTGAACAGTTGGCATCGGAATGTAACGAACGAACTCTCATTAAATTAGGCTGTGCTCCGTTGCAATTTTCTTCCATTATTCGACTTATCAAAGAGTTGTACAAGCAACACGAGCAAGAACATTCTACGAGGACGTCAAGCATCGAACAAAGTGAGTCAATAGTATTGCAGCTGGTGAAAGACAAACTTACTATTATAAAAGAAATTTGAGGTTCACGAAGTTAGATAATCTATAGTGCATACACATTGATTTATAAATAGCTTACAATAGAAACTTGAATATTTCTACGCTGCTCTCAATAATAGAACTGTTTTCTTGATTCTTATTAGTAGAGCATTACAATTTACTTTATGCTCATCAGAATAAAAATTCTGCATTTAACGATATAAAAAATAAGAGATTCAAATGATACACGTTGAAGTTGTGTTAAATATATTGCAAACACAATAAAAGTCTAGAGCACAAGCCAATAAATTTCGGTAGCAAATAGAACTTAAGTATCTGCACGCTTCACTTTTGAAAGGATTGCACAAATAATCTGTATTTTAGTTGCTCAGTGGTTGCTCTGTATCGATTATATCCTTCAACAACAACCAGAAAATGAACAGTCACGTGGTAGTCACAATGAAAGAATCGAGACGACAACAATTGCCGAATTAAAACAACTGAAAATTATTCCATTAAATGGTCAGTCGCGATTAGTATCCATTGATGAATATAATGAACAAGTGATACTCTTTCCATTATCGAAAACGGCCCAATATAAGAAACCGTTCAAGATCGTTCTCGATGATTTACCCAGACTTGACGAACGATTACTTGAATATATTGAAAATAAATGTCCACGACGGTATGAATCAATCGAATGTCTACTTAAAAAACTCGGTAAGTATTACAGATTTCTTGTTACACTTTTTAAAAAAATCATTGATACAGGTATGATCGATAAACCTAAAATTAAGGATATCTATCGACTATACATGAGGCCAACACTTTTGGACTCGACTCGTTGGTCAACGAAAGCTGATTCTGTTCTCATTGCTTATCTTCTATGTATTTATATACATTTTGATCAATTTAAAAATGAACTTGATCAATTGCAAAAGCACATGGTTATCAAAACACGTAGTGGTCAGTTTGTTTGTCTTGATACGCCAGGTATTATTATTCATTTAACATCTACATATGAATGCACAAGATCACTCGAATCATTGGTGTCACCGAAACATGAATTCACATTTATCTCAGATGATTATATTAATAACTATCGCACCGAACTGTTTCGTACGAAAGACGAAATAAATAGTTTTTCTAGATTTCTTGAACAACTCAATATTACCGAGTTTCTTCAAGTTAACATAAGTGATACACGTAAGTATTTGACATATGAGATGATTTCTACTATGAGTGTTATTTATTTAGACTTTATCAATGTTTCTCAACTTCAAAGCACCCAATGGGCTTATTTAATGCCAGAATTGAATGAAATGATTCGTCAACCATTCATAGTAGAAGATTGTTGTTGTAATGAATTTAACAGACTTGTAGCACCATCCAACAATACTGTTGCTGATATCGATCTATATTCAAAATTATTGATCTACTTAGATCGCTATCATGCAGTGTTTTCCAGATACTATATGGCATCGATAATTTCTATTGATCAATTAAAGTCTGGAGGAAGGCGACCGGAAAAAAGTATTCCATCAACATTTTGTCTATCCTTGAGACAACATGCTTGGATACCGATTGAGGGTGGTCAATTAGCTAAACCAGACGATGTATATTGTTTACATCCGAAGAGTGAAACATTATTCTTTCATCGCTATGTACCACATTTGGATCAAGCAAAACTATCATTGAACAATCGAGACTTTATATTGAACACACTTGGACTTAAAGAACATGTACTACCTATGACCATGTTTGAAATATTCATGAAATGGTCGTGTGCTTTTGATCTTGATGTATTACGGACTTTATTGAATGAAACAAATCATTTGGACATGTGAGTAAAACAGTAGTACGAAATTTGTCAAAGTCCATGTCGAAGGCCCCCTAATAGGGAAAAAGAACATTGGTGTTCTATCTTATCGAGTGTTGGAGAGAATAAGCATTAAGAATAGGTATCCTAAAAAGTCTAAAAAACAGACATTGTGGACAGTGCTATATGAAAGCTAACAATATCTGAGCTTCAGTCAATGCTTTCCATAAAAGAAATTAAGGGACGATTGAGTCGTTATTTTGTTAAAGTCCTGCTTAAAAAAAACAAACTGGGTTCTGTAGAAACTAGAAAAACTTCTTAGTTGATAATGTAGCCGGTTCGGAAAAAGATTATTTTACTTCACACCGATGACAATGACAACGAATCTAAAAAGTGATACGTTGTTCATCTAAAGTCGCATATGCGAGTGTCACTTCAAGTAAAGTGAAGAAATTTGTATGACACTGAGGAAGAAATGAGGTATCTCTAAAGTTTTTACTAGTCCTCGTTCGAGATAATATTACTTTCAAAATACACAATCAACATAACATCTAGAATATGTGTTGTTGCGATTTCTATTTTCGAAAACCTATACATGCTGCTGGAATAGTCGTGTTGAAAACAAGTTTAAACCAATATCATTGAATCTTTCCTTTCGATTGTATCGTAATTGACATTGCTTGTCCTTTTAGAGTACCTTGTACTGTACCAGCTACATTTTGTCAATCGTGTAACGATACCATTGATAATATTCGTCGTATCTATCATTTTCTTATCACTGACAACGACACTTTCAAACTTCTAGCGCGTTTTCGCTTTTGGCCACTTGTTTTTGTACTACGAAACAATAGCAGAGGTGGAGGTGACTTCTTATTTCCTCGTCAAGTTTATTGGCATGATTCAACATTATTGTTGTCAAATCTGGATAACATCACTATGCCGAATTCAGATCGTCGTATTTCTATTCAACGATACTATGGCAATGATGTTAAATTACAAAAATTTTTTCTTGAAATACTTCAAATCACATTTGAACCTACTATTGATGATTATCTTCCATTGTTGACACAGATAACAAACATAAATGATATCTGGCGACTTAGTGAAGTAATCATACGATTAGCATTTCAGCAAAATCGACAGATTGAAGTAAAAGGTAATTATCGTACACTTATTGTATGCCTAATCATCAAAAATAAAATACTTCATTCTATATAGAAAGATGTTTCAATTTGCTGTTTATTCCTTGTATGGGCACGAAAAATAAAAGAGTCAAATATATAGATCGACCATTCTATCCACATGATCCTGATATTGCCAATGTATTAGCAAATATATTACCGATTATTCAATTACCCGGTAAATAGAATTGTGAACAGAATAATGTTTTGTAAATGTCTTTTTTTTTCTTAGATTGGACTCTGTCTTCTGAATTCAAGAACAATTTTTGTTTGCTCTTCGAGATTCAAACTCTAGCAGATGTTATCCAGTTACAAGTTCATGTTGATAATGAACAACTATCAGTGGATTTATTCAATTTCTATTTTCATTCGATTGAACTCATTCAATATTTTCTTCTAACGAAATCATTCATAACTGAAGAGCGATCGCAATATTTAGCATCTGTTTTTGCTCGCATGCATTTTGTCTGTGTCGATCAGATTCAACTTTCATATCACTATGAAGCTGATACCTTACGAAAAGAAATATGTGATACTTACGTTGATGAACGAGTCGGACGATTTTACATTTTGAAAAAATTTGAAAAATCCGAAACACGCTACATCGAGACTATGGCCAAATATCTTATTCAAGATCGAATGGCCCTAGCCGAACTGATATCTTTTATGATAGAACTATTACGAATCTATCAGAATGAAGGCGAACAAGGCTTAATAAATCAACGCAATAGTATATCTATTCAAGAACATAATTATAGATGGATACTTCCGAATGTGTATTTGACTCTGTTATTACCACCACCAAAAGAAGAAATTCCTTTGAATGACGAACCGATTGACATATCGACTGAGATGATTGAAGAACTAATGAATGAATCTTTGCCTGAACGAAAGCTTCGATCCAGAATAACAACAGAAAAAGATGAGGAGAGGAATCCGACTTGTTTTCCTGTTAAAGCTAACACTATTGAGTCGACCGATTTTTCAAATACAAAATCTCATCCAACAGAGCAAAGACAATCAACAGATTCATCAAAATTTTCAAATTCTAATCACTCATCTTCGTCCGGTTCGACCTCACAAGTATCAAGAAAATCAGAGAGCAGCCGTACGATAAAAGGTGAGTCAATTTCGAAAGAAATTTATAACTTTATCATTCGCCCTTCTTTCCAAATAGATAACAAGACTGTCGAGTCAACCGAAGAATCGACTCATACTGTTGAATTCCATACTGCTACTATTGCTTGTTCAAATTCTACTGTGGTGGAAGTAGCCACATTTCAACATATTCAAATCTCAACTCTAACTGGTTCAAATCTCTATCCATTGTCACCATCTTCAATTACAATTAATCCGACTAGTAACATGGTCGATAATACTATTGGTCGTCAAGGTGAAGAACTCGTTTTTCGTTTTCTACAATGGAAACATCCAAATAAACATGTCGAATGGATGAATGCTAAACAAGAATCAGGTCTTCCATATGATATTCAAATTAGAACAAATAATGAGATTGAAATGATTGAAGTGAAAACGACACGGATCCATGATCAACATACGTTTCAAATATCGATCAGTGAAATTGAATGTCTACTTAAAAATCCAATGCATTATCATATTTATCGAGTGTACTATTCCGACGACCCTGACTCGACGAAAATTACAATACTCAGCCAAGTGAAATATCATTTGGAAGAGAAACAGCTTGCACTTTGTATGACCATGATGCAACGAGCCGATGAACAGTGAAAATAAGCTGAAATGTCTTTTTTCTTCAGTTTTAAAATTTTCATAAATAATTCAGATAAAATAAACATTCTACGGTTTCGATATATATGCAGAGTTGGTTTCAAAGGGTGTTGGTGTGAGTGGGTATGGATATGGGGTGTGGAGTGTTGGTGTGGATGTGGATGGGTGTGGGTGTGGATACGAATAGAAGACTCACACTCACACTCAAACCCCACAAGAGTCATCAATTTGGACTGAACTAAGAACGATTTCAGTTGAAGACAAAGCGAGTTTTTAAGGAGATTGTATCATAACTTGTTATGATAACTTGATATTTGTTCCGACTGTAGTGTGGGCGAATTCAACTGTGTTCGTCAAGAGAAGACGCTCATTAACATCTACATTTCGAAGTCGTCTTTTTGAGAACAATCATTTTTTGTATTCATGATTTTTGTCTATGAATGCTTTTGCACCCGAATCAGTAATCTCCATTCAATGTTTGATTCCATTTTACTATCATAATTATATGGTCTGTTCAAACTTAAAAAAGGCTGATAGTATTCATAGTAACAATTATGTCTGATGAACTTCATAAATTAAAGTTAATTAAGAATAAAAAAAGCACTACTATATTTTAGCGAACTCCATAAATTTCAACATGTTTAAACATATAACTGAAATTTTAGTTTGTTTTAAAATTGTTATCAGTAAAGTTTTTTGAAATTTGAAAACCGAAAATTCAAGACCTAAGATTATTTAAAATTTGAATGAATTAAATTTAAAAACGACTAACATTGAATTTAACAGATTTTTTATTTTGATTTTATGTTCGCGAATAAGAGGACACGCGCACACCAACACCCTCACACTCATTTTCTCATTAGTTGTAGTCTCTGGTATAAATGTGATTCTTGATTAAATTGCATCAATCAGAGATAAGTATGTCGAAAAAGAAAAAAGATGAAAAATTAGCTGTAACCAATGTATCCAGTAACAACGCCAATAATGATAGCTGAAATGACCAACAAAGCGAAAGTAGAGGTTGTTGCTGTAGCTGTATTGCAGAAGTCTTTGTCCGAACAGCAGCATATCTTCGACTTTATATTGAACCCTGGAACACTATAGTCGCGACATTCATTCAAGCCAGGGCAGAATAGATTAGGATCCTCGTCTTGCAGTCTATTGCCATCTCTGGCTACACCATTGAGATCGCCAGCTTGAGCTGAGATTTTCTAAATAAATTAATACGAACTATTATGACGAGAAACGCACTTTTGAACTTCTAAAAGGGCCTACCCAACAATAATTGTTAGCTGCTGTCACTTTAACAACTCCCCTCCCGTTCCTGTTAAATGGATCGCCGCATTGGTCTCCGAACTTGTCTCGACATTTATAACATTGTAGGGTTGATGTGAGTGGGAGAAGTGCTATTAAGATAGATATCAATATTCTTGCCTTGAAGCTTTTTAGTACTTTTACTTACCGCTAGCAAGAACCATCAACAGCGTGCATTCTCTGAAATTCATTTTCACACAATTGCGGTCCTGCGTGTTTATCTTTTATTTGTTTATTTATCTTAAAGAAATGAAGAGTTTCGTTCTGATGGTGCTGTTTTATAATAATTGGATCACTTTCTCGTCTCAGACCGCCAATGTGGTAAAACTATCTACGGTCAACAAAAGGTTAGTGACATTGGTGGTGTTCGATAAGCCGTATTTATTGAAATCAACTTATTCTTGCTGAGAAAACAATTCGTTCAGTAGCAAACATTTTGGTTTAAGAGTAAAGGACAAAGACACTGTACTGTTATTCTCACAAAATCATTTTCTTTTTCACCATTGGGATACTCGGTATTAATTTGAGCTTACTGTATTATTGTGTTTCTACATAAATTTCAATCATCAGTTTCTTGAGCGATGTCAAAACCAAACTAAATAGATTTTTTTTATTTAAGAAACTGGTTATGCATCATTTCGATGGAGTCTAATGTCTCTGTATAATAACTGATGTCGTTGATATCGTCTATTTTTAGCGGTTAATCGCGATTAATTACCGACTTTTTAGATATTTACAATCAGGACCACCATTATATTCCTAACATTCATCGATGGATTCCATTATTTTCCTTGATTCGCGTGCTTTCTCTCTCTGTCCTTTTCTTTTGTGGAACTCACATACATTTTCGAAGAAAATAGCGAATGTAAATTTTAAGGTCCAGTCTTCGCCGTTCTTTCCTCCCGTCCTCCCTATTCCCATTACAGACCATAGCAACTCCGCCTAAAAAATAGAAAAATTTCTGACCAAAGTGTAGAAATAAAAAAAAAAACATTTGTTGTCGATCGATTATCATCAGAAAAAAAATTTCATCTTTTTGGAAAATTTAAAAATTATACAGTTTGTCATTACTATAATGAAACTGAAGAAGGTAAGTGAGTTTCACATCTCAGTTCCAAAGGGGCTGCACTAACAAGCTTTTTGTCTTCGCACTGAGTTTTTCTCCATGCATATATATCGCATGACTGATCACAGTCCACGTGAAAAATATGCAGCATTTAAGTGACATCTGAAATGCTTGGTATATGCCTGATTAGAGTAGTTGTAAGTTTTTGATAGAACCAGGATGAAGGATGTGTTTCTCTACATATCTGAACGAGACTTTCTTTGGCGAGCCTTTTTGCAAACTGGTTCGATCAAATTTTGGTATGAAATTCTCGGGATATGAGTATGGATGTCTATCTTCTTCTCACTTACATTCATCGCACAACTACACTCCAAATCGTATGAAATATGGTACACGATATTGAAAAACAGGTCAGTTATGCAGAGCAGTGTAAAGGGAGTTCACGAAGATATCGAGTCTATCTAGAAGAAATACGAAGAAAGGAAGAGCACAATTTGATTGTAAACACCATTCACTTCACGATCAATGCTAAATCATCCCACAATTCCGTGCTGATCTAAAAGAAGATGTTACTAAAGCCTTGGAATCGGAAAACTACATCGGAAAGAATATACTAAACAAAAACCTGTTTTTAGTATGAAATGTTAAGAATTTCCACCATTGGCAGCATCAAAAAAATCTCGATAAGCAGTATGGAATTCTGTACGAACAGAACATATACCAATGATGTACTAGGTTCAACAAAAGCACTTCTTATAAATAAAAATCTGGTCACTATGCGTGACAGGAATAGAAGAAAAACTCGAGAAGATAGACTCCCTATTCAATCAAACAGCCTTAGACGTATAGTTACATCAAACTGCAGTAGTGAAATTCATCGAATGTGTACGATTATTTAATCAACATATTATTGAGTCGATGACGAATCAAGTAAACTCGGCATTGTTGAATTCAGCATCATGTCTAAAATCTGTTGTTGATAAACTGTGTGAGCTAAAAATTAATTTTTGTAACGACTATGAAATAAGACGTAATTGTGTAGCACAATTATCCATTCAAAATAATGCACCCACAACGCCGAAAGAAATGGACACATTGTAATACATTGAACGTGAACAATCATAAGTTGTTTTAATATAGCAAGCGATACAACAGTTAGGACAATGGCCTTGTCCAGCAGATGATCAAAAGTTAGCGATTGAGCCCCTGAAAGAATGGTAGACCGGTAGATCCTTGAACTATCTGTGGCTTTCATCATTAGAAAGCGTCTGACATTCTGCATCTGTCTACATATTAGTTAACAAAACTTGTTCATATTTTTGATGAACAGTCAATGAAATTCACAGAACAAGTTAAAGTGATCTGAAAAATGTATGGAATTTCAGTTATGAGATGTGCATGAGGTTCTTCTACTCAAGAACTACACAATGCTACATACACTCAAAATTTTTATTTTTATCGTTCAAAAGATATACATCCAACAATGATTGTCAAAAACGCTGGAAACAATCGTTTGTGACTACTTATTTAATTTTTTTTTCAATTCTCTGTTTATTAATTAACAGTTAGATTTTTGATCATTCTCTATGGAATGGAACTGCTTATATTTAAAGAAAATCGTTCTTTGTCACTAATCATATTACATCACATATCGAGTATCTTTCTTGCCAACTATACTGACACACTATAGTTCTATATGTTGAATATCTCTTCAGAACGATCGAAAATCTATGTTAATTGATAAGCATAGAATTTAAAAAAGAATTGAATAAATAGTCACAAATGGCTGTTTTCAGCGTTTTTGATAATCATTTTTGAATGTATATTTTTTGAATGATACAAATTAAAAAATTTCGGATTTACGTAGAGTTGTAGATCTTGAGTAGAAGAATCTTATGCATCCCTTGTAATTCAAATTCAATACACTCTTCAAACCATTTTAAATTCTGTGAATTTCACTGGCTGTTTATCAAAATGATGAGCAAGTTTTGTTAACTAGTCTATAGAAAGATGCAGCATGTCAGTCTCTTTCTAATGGTAAAAATCGCAGTTGGATAGCTCTTTTTGTTGAAGAGATATTTGCAAGACAACCGCTCTTCTTTTATTTTGAAATGGGGATTAATTCAATGCATCGGAACGCATTCAAGTCGCCTTTTTGCAGATGATCTTATTTTTATTATAAGACTGTCGTATCTCAATAAAACTAGCACTGATGATCGAATACTTAGAAGAAGGTAAGCGACCGTGCGATTGAATATTTGCTCACTCAACAAAATTGAAACAACCTAAGCGAAGAAAAAATGAATTAGTAAATGAATTTTAATATCTATGATTTACATGGAGATACAAATTATTTTTCAAACCAACAGTTGATAGATATGTAAGAAATATTTAAAAATTCATAGGAAAATTTAAACAATTAAGAGCAAAATGCTGTATCTCCACCAAGATGCTTAGACAATTTTTTTTACATACATATTCTTCCACTTCTCATGGTCATTTCTCTTCTTTTTCATGCTTTCGAAGTCATAAAAACAACTATTCAAGGAGAAATTCCAAGTTTGTCTTCAATTGGTGCATCGCTGCCCCTTTATCTCAGCTAATAACTCATATACTATGA